ACGTTCTCAACAATGTCTACTGCTCACGTCGTAAATCGTGATTTTGCGATTAGCACTTGAAACTGCAAAATAATCCTGTTCACACTAGGCGATCGCTCAATTGACCAAGCAAATTGCGATTTTTCACGACATCCAGGTGTATTGGTGGTCATGATCAGCTTCTCAATTTCCTGTCACTTCCTCTAAATCAAGTTTGAACAGTTTGACGTCACTTGCAAAATAACAAAACACAGCAATACAACAGCTGCATCAAGACCGATTCTTCGGAGAGACACATTTGGTTGTTAGGACGGTTAGGTCTCAGGAATCTATCATCATATTCTCCTTCTTTATATTCAACACTCTATCATACCTAATAAGCAACAATGCAACAAGAAGCTGTCGAAGATAGAGCCGAACTAGATGTTTCAACCGACGTCAAGCTAGTTCGGCCAGGTATATATAACGTTATTCTAGATGGGAAATTCTTTCAAGCTGCTGGAACTAGTTTCGGTGGCTACGTATTCGCTATCGCCATAAAAAGTTTCAGCGCACATCTAGAGGCAACACATCCTGGCCAGTTCCCTGATCCATTCACACTATCATTCCAGTTCGTGACCTCGAACAAACCAGGTGAGCTCCGTGTCAATCAAATATGTCGCATAGCAGGATATCTAACCTCATATTTTCTCACGCAGGTTGGTCTGTTGATATAACGGTGGAATTGTTCAAGTCTGGCAAGAATTTGGCTTATCTGTCACAGGTACGTGGTGGATCTACCTCCTTGAGTCCAGCAGTCTGATCAGTGAATGTGAACATGGAAACTTGCTCCGTTTTCTATATATTTTGACCTCAGATTGTTAGCTCATGGGTCCAACTCTCTCTTTGTAGACTGCCCGTCACGACGGCGATGTTATCTGGACTGCACTAGGCACTTTTGGAGACATGGCTACCGCGCAGAGGATTGAGGGATTCAAATACAACGTCAAGCCACCTCCAAACCTTCCTCCAGTAAGTTTTGGATAGCTAGACACTCCTGCCGAACATCAGGAGACTTTATTTTGAAATGTCTCTGAGTTCGTTTCGTTATTAGCCATCCGAATGTGTCGAAATCGAAGACGAAATTTCCAAACTTGGAAACGAATACTTTACATCTCTACAAGTGACGAACTACCCTGCATCAGAAGCCTCGAAACGTGGAGCCATATTCAAGCCTGTACCCCACTTGAACGTTGATATCGACAGTACTATCGCACACAACTTTTGGATTGCATTCAAGAAAAACAGACCAGCAGACCATATCGCAGCTGCCTACTTTTCGGATTACCTTGCCGACAAGAGTATCTTTAATAGCATGTTTTCGGGTACGTGTCTGAACTTGCTCGATTCGTAACAGACAAGCAACTGACCTGACCCGTTTATAGCTGGAATGCGACATACAGGCACTGTCACAGCCGTTATCAACTTTTATAATCGTGCTGAGCTGACAGGGAAGGACGATAAATGGATGTGTCAAGAGACGACAGTGCAGGTAAATTATGAGTTCTATCAAATTTGATTAATTTACACTACTAATAATACTACACTGCTATTGCAGAATTGGGAGGGGAGATCGGACTGTGAGAGTCGGGTTTGGGATTCCAAAGGCAATCTTCTTTGCATCAATAGGCAGATACAGGTCTTTTGGGTCACATTGCCAGGAAAAGAACACAAAGGTGGCAGATTTGGCCATCCTAGAATTTAATACCTGAGACAGAAGCTTATAGACGTATAATAGAGGGTAAATTAGAATAGAAGTGCGAAATCAGTTTTGTGTCTGGTTTGGATTTTGACATCGTTTTCGGGCGCGATCGGTAGGAGAAAATAAGCTGCCACTGAGAATTGACTCTTAAATGATCGATCGGGTGCCTCCTCGTTCCGTTCCGCCCTCGAACTTGGACGTGACCATCTCCAACATTTGATTTTTGGAGTTTTGCAACACCTCACACCTCAGCAAGAAGCTCCTTTTGCTCAGACCATAACAAGCACCAAGCAGCATGTCGAGCCCAAAGACTCTCCGAATCGGTCTACTAGGCTGTGGCATCTTTGCCAAAGAGAGCCATCTGCCAGCCATCCTCAGTCGCCCCAGTCTATTCAGACTCTGTGCTCTCTATAGCCGCAGTGAAAAGTCTGCTACTGCTCTACTGAACGATATTCCATACAATAAGCCAGAAATCTATTCTGATGACAGCAAGGATGGCCACAATCTCGATGCCTTGTTGTCCAACCCAGACATTGATGCCGTAATTGTCGTGCTTCCTATTCTGCAACAACCTGAAGTCATTATGAAGGCTTTCAAGGCTGGAAAGCATGTATTATCGGAAAAGCCAGTGTCTGGTGACGTTACAGAGGGTTTGGTGCTCGTCAACGAGTACTTGGAGACGTACAAGCCAAAAGGGATAATATGGCAGGTAAAAACACAATCCCAAGTTGTAATTACTTGACATTTCTTCGCCTCATTCGCAAACTTTGCATAGGTTGCAGAGAACTATCGTGCTGAACCAGCTATTCGACTTGGTTCACGAATTGTTCGTGAAAGTGTCGGTGAAGTCATGACTTGTGACATACGAGTATTTGGTGAATTTCCAAAGGACAACAAGTATATTCAAACAGCTTGGAGACAGGAGGGCGGCTACATGGGAGGTTTGTCTTTGAAGCAAAAGAACAATCCAGGAGCTTTTGGCGCATCTGATTTTTTTTCTGCACTGGTCAGGTTACTTGCTAGACGCCGGTATCCACTGGATTGCTGCTATGCGCGCACTCATGAATGATGAGCCTACAAGTGTCTCGTCGCAGGTGAAGCGCAAACTGGTTTCATTTTTGAAATTTCAGAATTCTCACGGCCTGTGTACTCTATAGACAAGGCAATTCAACGCATGGACTCCTCCGTGCGATACGATCGCAGCCTCCTTCTCATTTGCAAAAATGGCATGCGGAACATTAAATATATGTATGGCTGCTACAGGTCGTGGACCTCTAGTAGAAATGACAGTCGTGGGAACCACAGGAGCTGTAGAGTTACGAAGGTACCCATATAGAATGATCATTTATTTGAATACGTCGTCGCTAACACTATTCCTAACTGTTAGTGGTACTGGACCAGATGGAGGACGAGGATTCATGGTCAGCAAGTTTGTAAAACGCACATCAGGACAAGGCCTCGACCGTGACGTGAAATTCGTCTTAGGAGCTGGTGTAGAAGAAGAACTCGAATTCTTTGCCTTTACGGTCGGAGGAAAACTAGATTCTCACACATCGCTCGCCATGTTTGGTACCATGGATAATTCACCTGAGCATGCTTTACTAGATGTTGGTAGGCAGATTTACGAAAGCAGAAAATCTTGCGATTAGTGTCATCCCTTCTAATTCGATCGTCCTTTAGCTGTGGTGGAAGCTATTCTGAGATCAGGAGCCACCAATGGTTCTAATGTCGAAATTACATACCCATTGGACCCTCCACCGCTTCCTCCAGCACCAAGCATGCCACCACCACCATCAGATGATTTTGGCGGAGGAATGGGCGGTATGGGCGGTGGTTTTGGTGGTCAGGGTATGATGGGAGGTGGGATGCAAGGAATGGGAGGTGGAATGCAAGGAATGATGGGAGGCGGAAACATGATGGGTGGTGGTAACATGATGGGAGGGTTCGGTGGTCAAATGCAAGGCGGAAACGGGATGGGTCGTTTCTAACAAAAAATCAAGTTGAATGTAATCGCAATATAAATAACCTCCAGTCTAATTGCGATGAATTTAGAATTTAGATCTACGATCGTGTATTTCATCATTGTTACGCGTTTAGTGTTCCTTGAATGATGAGAGGGGCTCGAAGCTAGCCTGTAAACTACAAAATCACTTGATTTCACCGGAAACGAGAGATACGAGGCAAAGAAGCGAAGATGAGCAGCAGGAGTACTGAAATGCCCGTAGACAGATCAAAAGGATCGTCTACAACTCAAGAACATGACGGTATATCTATCGATAAAATATTCAAATCTTAAAATCTTTGCCTCAACCAATCTAACACATCAATTTGATATAGGTGATAATAGGACTCCACAAGCTATTTCTTTAAGCGATGTAAGAATCCTAGTCTTGTTAAGAGTATGCAAAGGACCACGAGGAATCAACCAGCATTACGCTTTTGTCACTTACACACAATCTTCCTTGCTCAATATTGCAGCGAGGAGTCAATACCAACCCAGGTGCATATCAATCTACTACAAATAAAACGGCTCCACCGAAGACACTTACAAGCGATCGCTCAATCGAGTCACCAGATAAACAAGCATTCACCAACAAACTATCAACAGCACCGCCAACACCAATAAACCCACAACTTCCACTAGACGAGCAAACAATCCGAATGATGTCTGGCCAGGACTGGATAGACCCTGAAGCTCCAGAAGAACGTGATCACTCTAAAGACACGTCTTTTGACAGGTCCTTTGAACGTGAAATACGTGAAGCTGGACACTACAAACCGGGAGTACCACCTGTAGCCATGCCTGAAGAGTATGGTGATACGCTTGATGGTGGATTGTTACGTCAGGAACATAATCCAGAGTTTCAAGATGAAGCTGGATTGGATTTTGGGGATGTTGATACCGAGCTTTGTCAAGATGATGAGGGGGAAGACTATTACGAAAATCGATGAGCTGTTTGTGGAAAAGAGTGGAAGGGCTTTTGGGGGTGTAGGTACAGCACATTGTCAGTCATAAAAAGCCATGATCATATAAATCGATAACTGATGCAAAACCAAAATAGTCTCAGTATTATATCTATATATTTTTACACGCTTTTGTATATTTTGGCTGCATATAACACACTATATCAGCACTAGATCACTTGTAAAAGGCTTTGGTTGAACGAATTGTCCGTTTTGTGTCTCGGCCATTTTTGTTCGCTAGTGGCAGTTTGAAAGAAGCTCTTGTGGTCATAACTACAATTTTCTCATTCAAACAAGCTCTAAAAGTCTTTGAACTATGGCCAACCTAGTACCTTCAAATGGAATCAAGTTCAAAGTTGACGTTGTCGCAAGACACAATACAGAGGACGACTGTTGGGTAGTCATTGATGGAAAAGGTAATTTGAACACTTGTTCTGATGATCTCCACGTTTATACCTTCTTCGTACTGTCTGCTTTACTCACATCACATCCAATCTCGGCCATTTAGTCTACGAGTAAGTGTTTGTTTGACGACCAAACACCAGCTTCGAACCGCGTGTGGACATATGAATCGGAAGTGCCCGCATCTTGCCAGTTTGCTTGTTTGATATTGCTTGATGCCGATCAAAGAACGAAAGCTCGAAGCTGAAAACACAACATGAGGGAAATGGTATCTCACCTATATGCTTTATTCCCAGTGTCACTGACTATCTCGAGTCTCACCCGGGAGGCAAGCGGATCCTAATGTCAGTTGCTGGCAAGGACGCTACAGCGCAATTCGCAAACTTCCACAATGTGCCAAACATACTGGCCAACTATGCTAAAAAGCTATATATTGGTGACTTGGATCAAGAGCATAAGGAGCCACCAAAGTATCAAGGAGATCTATTCGGAAACTTGGTATAACGTGGTTGTGCTTTGGGACGAATTGTGCGAGAGCTGACTTGTTTTTCGTGAAAAGTTACCATACTCCGAACCCAATTGGTATCATTCCTGGAAATCCCCGTACTGTAAGTATAACATTTCAGTATATATTGGTGCCAGTAACGGTTTCCTGGAAAGTCCAACAACGTTTGGAAACCTGTAGACAACGACTCGCACAAAAAGCTACGCGAGTTTATGAGAAACTGGGTCGACACTGAGCTGATGCCCTACATCGAAGAGTGGGACAAGGCAGAACAGATTCCCAAGTCTATGATTAAGAGATTTGGCGAAGTGGGCATTTTAGCTGCCTTCTTGGATTACGGAAAATGGAGAGGTATGCGTTGAGTCTGGCTGGCTTCCTGACGATTCGGTCTAATAGCCATATGCTTAGGTAACGAATTTGGCATTCCACCTCCCGGAGGAATCACGGAATCTGAATGGGACGCCTTCCATGGTTTGATTTTACGTGACGAGCTTGGAAGAATTGCTAGTGCTGGTGTCAAATGGGCTGTATGTATACAAACGAGTCAGGAAAATCCAAGGTTATACTGAATATATCTTTTATAGATGGTCACTGGCCCAGCTTTGGCTTTACCCACAATCCTAAACTTTGGTACCAAAGAAATGCAACAAAGAATCATAGGACCCGTAGTCAGAGGCGACAAGGTGATATGTTTGGCCATGACGGAACCATATTCTGGAAGTGACGTCGCTGCCTTCCAAACCGTGGGTGTCAAGCAACCTGATGGAGGGTGGTTGGTGTCTGGAGAGAAGAAGTTTATTACGACTGGTGTTTGGGCCGGTAAGAGTCACATGAATTGGTGATACGGGGCTTGTTCTGACTTGTCATCTCCAACTACGCAGATTACTTTGTCATTGCCGTCAAAACCGATCCAAAAGCCGGCGCAAGCGGAATGTCTCTACTGCTCGGCGAACGTGGTTTCCCTGGACTCAAGACTAGAGGTTTCAAGGTCCAAGGTTAGTTTTTCTCTGAATGATCAACACCCACTTTCATTGGAGCTAACCTTTGGTCTTCGATAGGGTGGGCTGGAAGTGGTACTGCCTACGTTACAATGGAGAACATGAAGATACCTCCACAGAACTTGATTGGAAAAGAAGGCAATGGATTCAGACAGTTGATGCACAATTTGAACTTGGAACGGTTGCAAGGACAGGCAGGAGGTGTACGATCATGCCGAGTGCTGTTAGAAGAGGCTATGAAGCATGCCTTAACAAGAAAGGTAATTAAATGATAATGCTGTTATTTTTTACATTAATTTCTGACACCATGCTTCTGTTACTAGACTTTTGGGTAAGATATGGCTTCAACAGTTGATGAGAAGCAAAATCTAACTACGTTTTCTTTCTGCTTTCGCAGCCAATTCTTAATGTAAGTCTTTTGTGAGTACGCCTTCATGCGTGAATGCTAAGACTGACTTGTCGTTTTTCTTAGCGAGCGTAAGTGATCGCGACAATACGAAGTTTGCACAAATTTGAACCACCGTTCCGAACGATTTCTGATTGATTTAGATGGTGTTATACGAAACAAGCTCGGCCATATGGCCCGCTTGATTGAATCATACCAAGCATGGCTTGAACTCGTCACGTATGCACTTGCCTCAATTATCAATTCTCACAGGATTTTATGGCACTCATTGCTCACTTTGTCACTTTAGCTACCAGTACTCTAAAATGACTTTCCAGGAAACAAGTAAACTAATGGGTGGTCAAGTAGCTTGTGAGTGTGAACCTTGTTGATTTGCCAAATCCAAATGTGATATTTAAACTTCCTGTGCAATAGCGTTGAAAGCTCACGGATCCATTGTTTTCGAATACTGTGCTCGTGAAGCTTGTAAGTTGTCTTGATACCTTCAGGGCCTGCATCATTGTGCAACTGAATGTTTTGTGGGTGAAATCTGACTTTGTTACAAACTTGCAATAGCTCAAATATTGGGAGGAATAGCCTACACAAAGGGTGGAAAAGGAGGTATCGTCGAACGTGTAAGTGTCGTAGCGTTTGCTTGGACAAGGCAAAATGGGGCAGAAGTCACAACAGTTTTGTTTACTTAGCTATACCGAGACGTTCGAGGAGCCGCCATACCTGGTGGTAGTGAAGAAATCATGCTCGATCTAAGTGTTAGGCAGCAGATGAAAATCTCAGACGCCTTGAAACTTGAACGTTCCAAACTCTAAAAAACCTTCAACTAATCATTTTGGACCCAAACTTGAATTTTTGAATAAAGAAGAAAATGCAACAAGACTCTCCGTGTTCCAAACAGTGTTGGCGTGTTGCCATACCGTGGGGCCATTACAATCGTAGTCGGTAAGCCTATCGAGTGTCCTTCTGATGCCAATATTGATCAAGATCCAGCAACAATACTTGGCTGAATTGACGACCATCTGGGAACAGTATAAAGATATCTATGCGAAAGGGCGCAAGTCTGAATTGCGTTTTGTTGATTAGATGAGAATTGCCGTGAGGGGTCTTTTCTGGGTATTCTCTTTTGTTAACGGTCACTGATTTTCCTATAACTTCTGATTAAAATCCTCCAGAAAATGTATTCTTGGCTGCTGCGATGTCTATGTAACCTAGAACATTGACGCCAAAAGCATTTATGGAGGTGGCAAGCGCGATATTCAGTGTCTGAGTATGTAGACACGAAATCAAATCCGATTTTTCTTTTTAAAATGACACATGAAGTAAAGTAAGGAAGGAACGCGTTGTGGGGTGTCAAATCAATCTTGCGTCTCAATCATTCAACCAACCAGCAGCAGTTTTTGGGAGAGGCAGGGATCATGGGAGCCGAGAGACGTACTTCCAAGTTGCTGCAAAATTTATCGATTTTAATCTTTACGACAAAGTTTCTCGGCTTCCTCATTGTTGGATTCGCTTTTTATTTCAAGGTCTTGTTCAATTTGAGATTATGGCCAGTTTTGACGATGTGTGAGTGACAATTTGCCTTTCCAACTGTAGAAGTGCACCTGAATCTCTAATCTCATTTGAGTCGTTGTTAGATCTCCTTTATTGTCGTCTTGACAGAGCATCTTCTGCTGGTGGCAGGCAAATCAATTTCTTGAAAGGGCTTTCTTTGTGGTAGGAACCGATCGTTTGTTCAGCTTCAAATTTCGCATTTGTAGCTAACTGTTATCGTCAAATCACAGGAAATGGATGCGAGACTACTTTCCTATATCACTTGTAAAGACTGCGGAGCTGGACGCTTCTCAAAAGTTTGTAACTCGTTGTTCGTTCCCCAAGTACTTGATATTTACTGATTTCATTTCTGGCTAGATACGTGTTTGGGTACCATCCTCATGGCATTTTCCCTTATGGCTCGATGATAGCTTTTGGCACCGACGCACTTTCTATCTCAAAACTCTTCCCTGGTATCAATTTTCGAGTTATGACCATGGGCTTTCTATTTTATCTACCTGGGGTGAGATCTTGAATATATGGATTGTCAGCTTGAAGTGTCACCACTTCCTCATATTGAGACTTTGCAGCTTCGAACATCTTCTAACATTTCGTTGTAGTTTCGGGAGTGGGCAGCTGCTCAAGGAGCTGGAAGTGTCAGCAAAGATTCCTGTGTGGAAGCTTTAAGAAGAGGAAACAGTCCCGTTATTGTTTTTGGCGGAACCAGGGATATGGGATATGGTATGTCGACTGTTGAGCTGTGAACAATCGCTTCTCACATCTCTCTTCTGGACTTGTAGCAATACCTGGAACGTATGACTTGGTAGTGAAGAGAAGGCTCGGATTCATCAAGTTGGCTATTCAAAATGGAGCTCACGTTGTTCCTATCTTCAGTTTTGGCGAGGTCTGATTATGTGAAAGCAATGATCTTATTTTATTACCAATCAAATCTCACACAAACTTGATTCCTTCAGAACGATACATGGGAAACTGCAGGTCATCCCTGGCTCCGGCGATTTCGGGAAATCTCTCTCAAGCTGGTTGGACGTTCTTTTGTGATCCCTTATGGCCAAGGACTCTTTGATGACGACAAACCGGGACTGATGCCATATCGTAGACCCATTGTCATCGTAGTTGGTCGACCTATTGAATGCCCCCACCAGTCAGATCCAACGAACGTCGTTTTGATCAATATTCAAGAACAATATTTGGCTGAACTACAAAACATCTGGGAACAGTATAAGGATATATATGCCAAGGATCGCAAGTCGGAATTACGATTTGTTGATTAGAACTTGGACATGTGTTAACTGTGTGGTTGATAATATTTCGAGACTACAGGTCGTTTCAATGCGTCAATTTCAATAAAGTCACCAGTAGCCCATATTCTCATATTTCCCCAATACGCATAGCTGTTACCATTTTTGCAATCTATATAGCTAACACCAGCAAAATTGCAAAACGTTGACTGGGCACCACGAAACATCCCTTTCTCAAACCGACCTCAAATCTCTCCACACGTCAGAAAATCCGAGCACCCTCAATGACACTCCAGCGACCCCAGTGTTATTCACCAAGGTACCAGTAGTATAAATAGTGCTGGTGCCTCTATCTACAAGAAATGATCGTGTGGGTTCTAATGTCCAACGGATTTTCAGAGCTTGTTGAAGAAGAATGGCAGTCGCAATTTCAGTCACATGAATTGTTCACGGAGAGGTTTTCCGGTGATTCCACGAAAGAAGAGGCAGGTAGTATCGTATTGTCGGATCAAGAACAATGCATTGGGGTAAATGAGCGAACTTCTTGACGAAAAGCACCGGATTTGGATGGGATGTCCCGTCACACTGATGTCCTGGACATAGACATCCTGTGGGAGCTTCACCTCTTGCATAACGATTACGAGACAGCTATGTGAGGTAATAAGTAGCGCTGTTGTATGTTGGATCTAAAAGGGAGGTGAGATGCTGATGTTATCAAGTTGAAATTAACTTCGACTTGCTCAAAACCGAAAACCGCACTTAGACTCACAAATATACATCAGAAATCAGAACTCTGAAGAGCCAACACGTGAAGATATCATTAATGGAGCTCCAATGGGCACCACTAAACGTTCCTTTGTCCAGGCGGCTTCAGACTCTATCCGTAGTATGTAGTGACATCAAAGCGCTTTGGTAAACAGGTCTTACAATGCCTCACTATTAACCCATCTATATTCTCAAGATATTCTTTGAATTTCAGATACCATTATTTGTCTTTGTATTTGTCCTGCTGTGCATCAATCCATTTACATTTCCGCTTTGTGCAATATGTAAGTTCGTGCTGCAGCGGTTGTTTCTGGAATTGTGAACTCGATCTGACGAACTCATCTAGATCTGGTCTGGTCTCTCTACTTTGACGATGCGCCTTCCAATGGTGGGCGACCATTTAGATCCATCAGGAACCTAAAAGTATGGCACTGGCTGCGAGATTTCTTCCCCATCACAGTGGTAAAGGTGGCGGAATTGGATCCATCACGCAAATACGTGTTTGGATATCATCCGCATGGAGTTATCTCGATAGGAGCCTGGGTAACTTTCGCCACAAACGCTTTGGATATCGAAACCATATTTCCAGGCGTGAGATTCCGCTTTTTGACTCTGAGCAGCAATTTTAATATTCCATTGGTATGTGTATCATTACTTGAAGCATCATAAATGTAGGTATGAACTCACCGAACTCCAATGAAGGTGCGGGACTGGATTCTCGCTTTGGGACTGGCTAGTGTTAGCAAAGAATCGTGCAAAGCGCTATTGAAGAAAGGGTTATGTCCAGTTATAGTTGTCGGAGGAGCAGCTGAATCACTCAACGGTGAGTAAATCGTTGTGTTTGTGTGTGAGGTTTTGACCTTGGATGAAAGCCTGTCGATCTGACTCGTTTTCTCCCCTGTATTTAGCAATTCCAAACACATACGATCTGGTTTTGAAGAAGAGGCTGGGCTTCATCAAGTTAGCTATTCAGACGGAAGGAGCTTCTCTAGTTCCTGTGTTTGGTTTCGGAGAAGTAAGTAATTTCCCATGAAAATCCCAACGATCAATTAGGTTCATACAAAAGATCATATCTGACTCATTTGCACATACAGAATGATGTATGGGAGCAAGTAAAGGACTCTCGACTTCGACGCTGGCAAACGTACATCCGACACAAGGTTGGGTTTGCACCCGTCTTGTTTCACGGCAGAGGTATATTCAACTACAATATTGGATTATTGCCGTACAGAAAGCCAATTACTATAGTAGTTGGACGACCAATCCATTGCCCGTATGACCCGAATCCAACGGAGGCTGTTTTACAAAAGGTGCATACGCAATATTTGGCAGGGATTGAATCTATCTGGGAGGAATATAAGGACGATTATGCCAAGGACAGGAAGAGGGAACTCCGTATTGTAGAGTAACTTGGGATTGTCTTGTAATAAAGTCACGCAGATTACAACTTAAGACCAAACGAACGGTTCAAGAGAAGTTCAAGAGAGGTTGCGTTGGAGAATGTGGAGAGAGAAACAAGGCCCACTTTCCCCGATTGACACATCGCAAGTGTGCGCAATGATGTTAATGGTTGTCGTCACGTCGACTTTCAGTATGTAAGCTGAGTCCTAAAGGCTGACGATACGTATTTGTACGCTTGGCAGACGCGTCTCCCATATAGTTTATCCTCTCACTCCGTTTGTTGTTCAAAACCAAACGGCATATTAGACTTAAAAGTTCGTCATGACGAGGAAGCCCACATAGGAGATTAAAGGTCTTCATTTTCCGAGACAGGATTTTGCTTTGATCAATTTGGAGGAGGGCTCCAAACATTAACAAGCAGAGTCAATTTGAGTCTTTACTTTCAACACACAGTTTGCATTCGGCCAACATAGATAAACCTAGCATGAGTAGCAAGGCTGGTAATTTGGGCTCGCTGGTCGATGCACCTTCACAGCGTAATAAAGGAATGTCACCTGTAACTACCTCGCAGCCTCGGAAGGCATCAACAATGGCTGCAACATCTACAAAATCGACGGGAACAGCAGCACAACCAGCAACCACATCTACGAGACATACACCGCTGCCATCTAGTAAACCGCCACCTTCCAATCAACTATCGCCATCTAAACATATCTCACAACCGACACATGGTCAACGGTTTGCAGCTGTAACAACGCAGAGAGCAACTCCTGAATCTCGTGAAGAGCATACTCGGAGACCACGAAACGATGAAGGCGATGGTGATGTAAATATGCATGACTATGTACGGACGTCTTCATCAAATCCACCGGGACTAGTTGGTTATGGAAAACATAGTAGTAGTATGGGTCGAGGTAACGGCATACAACAGGCCGCCCCATCAACGAGCCAGTATTCATCGCCTAGATTCGGCGAAGATGATGACGACGACGATGATGACGATGACGACGATGAAATACTCGATGATATAACAGGTCAAAACGATGAACAAGAAATATCTGATTCATATGTATCTACAACAACAGGAACATCCTCATCCCTCGTATCCTGGATAACATGGTATTGCTCACTCCCAGGTCATGAGCTCTTCTTGGAAGTACCAGAGGATTTCATAGAAGATGACTTCAACTTAACGAATCTACAATCCGTAATACCATCGTATAGCTCCGCGCTCGACATGATTCTCGATATTGAACCTTCATCGCCAGCTCAAAATACAGTCTCGAGTGAGTCAAGTAGTAACAATACCGCCAGATCACCAACCGTTGAAACATCTGCAGAATTACTATATGGATTGCTGCACGCTCGATATATAGTAACTAAACCTGGACTTCAAACTATGGCTGATCGGCTGTCTGCTTGTGAATTTGGTAAATGTCCACGGTACGGTTGTGGTGGTGCCTCGGTAGTGCCATCTGGTAGATCTGATGCCGTAGGAGTAGATACTGTAAAAATGTTTTGTCCCAGATGTAGTGACTTGTATAATCCACGAGAGGTACGTATTGTGAACGAAAGTGCTCGTAAACAAGTATTGTTTACCTTTTCCAGTCGGTTTTTGCGTCACCCACTGCGCATCTAAACGCTATTCTTTCTTCTAGACGAGATATCACAGGATTGATGGAGCCTTCTTTGGAACAACTTTCCCACATCTCTTATTTTTAACCTTCCCGGAGCTAATACCGCCAATTATAAACCCTTCACGATTGCATAAACGCACACACCATCCAACATCTGAATCAGCAACCGAGAGCGATGCTCGTAGTGACAGAGATGAGGAAGCATCTAGTATTGAAGACCGTGGTGGACGAGACGAAGGAACTGAAATAGATGATTATGAGGGTGCACTCGATGAAGATACGAATAGTAATGTTATAGATCCAGAATCCGCACGTGGCAGTCGATTACCTAAACTACCGGACTATGCTTTATATGAACCAAGGATATTTGGATTTAGGGTATCTGAAAAGGCCAAAAATGGGCCAAGGATGCAGTGGCTTAGATATCGTGAATGAATAAACAACCAATCAACCTGAGAAGCCTTGTCTGATCGTCCAGCCTGTTTTATCAATCCAGAGAGTCTCTATGGATCCACGCTGCACGAGAGGCTGAGATACACTGTTTGAGAATCTTTTCTAAAATACAATACAGAAGCAGAAGTTGGTGAGTTCTGAGCACTATTGCTCCATTACTTTAACAAGCCGCTCGAAGCTTGCGACATTTTGGTTTCATCGGTTGTGAGGTTCTGGGTTTGTCGAATATGTGTTTAAGGCAAGGCGACTCCGCACTCCAGACGCGTAAGTAGTCAGAACGCCAATCCTGTAAAATTATGATCTTCGACAACGACAAATAAGACCAATAATGTGTCAATATGTACTTTGCTATATTCTTATAATGTTGCTGTGTTGGATATATACTTATATAGCAATTTCATGTCTTTTGTTTTGATGATTTTCGCCTTCATTTTCGTTGCATCCAAACTTCAACGTTGATGCGCTTCATACCCGCAACTTTTCAAACAATCAAACACGAGTGATATATATATACGATGTCAGGATCAGCAGCCATGGATATGCCTGAGTGGATCAAGGCCCTCTTTGCCAAAATCAAGAACGACCGAATCCTGCTCTACACCACCATTGGCCTGTCTGCCACAGCAATAACCGTTGGATCAGTCAGCGGTCTCGTATACTTAATGACCCGCTCAAAGCACGCCAAAATCCCAGGTCCAGTCTCCCATCCCATCCACGGAAACATGGACATCAAACCGTACGAACCAACTCGTGCCGCCCATGAATTCTTCACGGCCATGTTTAAACGATACGGATCCCCCATCATCCGTATCCAAAACGGACTACTCGCCAATGACTTTGAGTCGCTCTGGATTTCAGACGCTACCGAGGCTCGTCGTGTACTAACATCAAAAAAACAATTCATTAAAGCCGACTTCTTTTTACGCTCCTCTGGAATCGAACATGGACTTGTATCATTGAGCGGTGCTGAACACGATCGTCATCGCAACTTGCTCAAACCCGCATTGTCGACTCCACATTTGACTCAGATATGTATTGCGGCTGCTGATTTGACGAATGATTTGGTCCAGATTTGGATGGAGAAATGTGAGCAAGGGCCTGTGGATGTTGCTCCTGCATTCATGTCTATGGCTACGGATGTGCTTGGTCGTGTTTTCTTTGGATATGAGTTTGAGAATGTCGCTTCGTTGGGTGATGGTGTTAAACATGAATCGACGAGAGCGTTTATTGCTGCTGCGGATCATTGGAATGGGCTTGCTGGACTCGTAAGTCATTTCGGGGTATCCCGCTCCTTGCTTTTGCTCTCGTTAACTTCGCCATTCACAAGCGTTCAACAATAACAAAAAAAGATTCAACAATTTCTCTCTTATTAGCGAGCCATGAAATCTCGATGGATGTACTCGTACTACAAGTGTACCGACAAAGATGTGCAGTATGCTTTGGCTCCAATCTATGCGCTCTTCAAGAGCCTCATGGACGACAAACGTAAAGCTAAAGCAAGTGGATGTCCTGAAAAGCCAGAACAAGAAAAGGACTTGTTGGAGCGCTTGTTGAGTAAGGATCAAGAAGGTCAAGAGGTAAATGAACAAAAAAGTCGTCAATAGAATACGTTTTGTTGGAAACACAATCACCGACACCGATGTTTGTCTCATAGAAATTCAGTGATATTGAAATCATGGAAGAAATGATCTCATTCGTGAGTGCATCCGTAATATTTTGCTGATTTTGAAACTCAACCAACTTATGCAACAAACGTAGTACATTGCTGGACGTGAAACATCTGGAGCTACCATGACTTGGCTATTCTATGAACTCGCTCACAACCCCGAATTGATTCCCAAGGCTCAGCAAGAAATCGACGAGATCTTTGCTCAAGATGGTGCTATTACTTACGAGACTATTCCAAAGTTTAAGTAAGTTGATGTTCGCTAAAAGGAGATCGGAATTCATCAACGTTCTTTTTTTTGCTCTCTAACCGCCTCAAATTGTCTTTCCCAAAAGGTACCTGCAAAGAATTTTGAAAGAGACTCTCCGTCTCCACACTCCCCTCCCTCAATCCCAAAGTCGCAAAGCACTGGAAGACACCGAAGTCGCTGGCCAGAAAGTCCATGCCGGTACCCGTGTCATGGTCTATCTCCGTGCCATGCACTTGAACGAGCAGTACTGGCCTGAGCCATACAAGTTTGATCCTGAACGATTCAATCAAAAGCCAGATGATAATACGTACATGCCGTTTGGTGCTGGTGTTTATATGTGTAAGTTGCAACAAAACAAACCTGTAGCAACCCAATATACATATATCTATTTAAAACCATTTCTCACAACTTTTTCATTTAGGCATTGGTCAAAAAGTCGCTGAAACTGAAATCCTTACCGTGGTGGCCATCATTCTCCGCCACTTTGATATCGAGTTGGTTCCTGATCAAAAGTTCCAGACTGTGCAGGTTATTACTGTTCGACTCCGTGGTGGATTGATGCTGAAGTTGACGCCAAGAAAGAACAAAAGGCCTGTTAGAGAGTAGAATATTGATTGTGTGTGTCTTGAAGTTGGGAAATTGAATGATGTTGATGAAGGGACGGTTGATTCTTAATATGTGACTTTAATTTGAATTCAACAATATATATCTGACGGTTTTCAGTACCATGCTCTTGTTTACATTTACAGTTATTATTATAGCGCCCCAGAAGAATATTAAGCATTAACAGAACATTATCTACTACGGATCCAGACATTTTTCAAACAACCAAAATAGAAACAGTTTCAGACACTTATGTGCAACTTATTTCACTGATTCTCTCTCCCTACAACTCCTCCACACTGGGCTCTAAATACCCTGTCTTGGGACTCGACATTGTCGACGTCTGACGCGAACTACTAGCTGTGGAAGGCCTACTACGAGATCCTGCACTGCTATTAGTACCATCATCTGCTACCACACGTCGCCCAACACTACTTCGTGCCCTAAACAAATCCGATATCGACCGTCGTGGTCGCCCGTCATCCATATCCAACGTATCTTCCACGTCATCCGATACAGACCCGTCGCGTCCGCTCAACGTATCAACAGACCTAGATCTAGATTTACGATTCTTGCGTCCTGTTCTGTCGGAGTCACTCCCGGCCGGAGGGCTGCCCAGTGGCTGGATGAATGCGTGACGGGATGCTGCGAAGGCTCGTGAGAGGGCGCCTTGCCAGTCAATGTATTCGTAAGAGGTGTCACAGGTGAAGCGCATTTCCGTGCCATCTGACTACGTGAGATTTGTATGAATGTCAGCAAAAAAATGTATATATCGTGAACTAAATGAAGAGTACCATGAGAAGCCCAAAAGTACACGGAAGCTTGATTTCAGCTTCATCTCTCACAGCAGCTACTTGAGAAAAGTGAACAAACATACGGTGTTTTACTCCCACTATTAATACTGGGCATGCTGTCTACGAAGAAAAGCCGAATATAAGGGCAATCCATGGTGCATTCGTTTCCAGCAACACGTACCACAGACGAGAACGATATATGTCCAAGCGACACGATAGCACCCTCCTCTGTCAGACTAGGATCAGCATCAGCAATCTCTCCAAACACGAATCGTACATCCTCTGTAGTGGCAGGTGCAGCCAATACTAGAGATTTACGTCCACTGCCCATTCCTTTGCGAGACATTAGCCATCCCTTCCTGATGACTGAGGAAGATCCTGGTGGAGGCGGCATTGGCGATAACGGAGGTGCATCTGCGAATGAGATTCGACTTGAGTTTTTGGCAGGTTCTATCATGGCGACCTTTTTGGGTGGTCCAAGCATTATGGTCTCTGCTTTTAGGAAGTTTTGGGAAAGTGTTAGATACAGGTTGATCTGAGAAGGATTGCGATAGTTCTAGGTTTCCAAATGACTTTGACTGAGTATATTGTTCTCGTATGTTTCTTTTCTTGCCTGTTTAGTATCGGTGAGCCTTTCTTCGTTATATTTCGACTTTTCGTGAAGTGCGGACCAATGCGACAAATGCGACGAGCACGAGCATTACAGATTACAGGGGCACAGGCCCATTTCAGGTTGAAGAGTGATCAAAGAAGCACAGGGATAGCATACGATCAACGCGGAGTTTAGTGGGTATTCACGTTAGGCTTACTAGGCAATGGCTTCAAAATCAGAGAATCAGGTTTCTTGTTTTTCTCTACCCGAATTGGGCGTTGTAAGATTATGATAATATCTATGTACTCCAAAACTATAGGGTGATCATCAAGGCCAATGCACAAGTTACAAATGCTATTATGAGGGATACGTAAGAGGAATCAACGCCAAGAGTTGCTCCAGATTTTGATGTTGAAGTGTTGGCTACAGGACTTGGAGTGGGACTTGGGAATGCCAGAACTAGATTTGAAAATGAAGTCAGTCAAAAGGCGTTCTGGCATGGTTTGTTGTCATCTGCGAATCACCAAAACAGTGTACCTGGCAAAGCACTCTGTGGACAGTAGGATGCGTAACTGTCTGTGATATTGAAGGCAAAGCATCCGTACTGCGAGTAACTGGATGTATTTGTTCCGGAGCAATCCTAAGCAACAGCGGTCAAAATATAAGCTTCTGAAGTACAAAGGGTTGCAAATGCTTTCATACCGAAGTGCCAACAAAGGTTGTAGTCACGACAGCTCCGTTATTACAAGCTGTACGTTGCGAGCCTAAGGCTCCTTGCTTTTGGCAGTTTCCAGAGCTGAAGGTTTGCAAGTACATGGCTACAAAGCGAAAAATCGATGTCAGCTTTTGATTAGTATAATAGTATAAGGGTATTACAACAACATACTGCTAGAGTTGGCACAAGTCGAAGCATTGAATCTCGAAGACACGACAAATGTGCCAAGTGTTTCGTTAGGCGCCCAGCTCCCAAAAGTTGTATTCAGACAATGTGAATTGAATGACGAGTATTGTGTGCCGTTGATCTGCGTGCAGGTGCTACGTGGTTTTTGTACAGAGAGCGTTAGTTCAAAGTGGTAAACCGACTAATGGTGTGCACAGCGATTTGAAGCATCCGGCGAAAGGTAGCGAAACTTGCAGTGATTGACACTTTAGCCCCAACGTACCTGTTGACCCCTTGGGTCGAGATGCCATTGTAGTCACTGCAGTTTTTAGCAGCAGGTCGTGCCAAGATCTGGAGGATGGTTGTGCAGTTTGCATCCAGGTAATCGTATTCAACAAAAGTGTTGGCTTGAGCGTTTGCTACAGTCAATATTGCCAATAGGACGAATGCTTTCAGCAACATTGTTGGGTTGAAGCTATATCTAGCAAATGTCGTGGAGTGTCCTCTAACTGTGGCGAGAATTGCGAATAAGGAGAGAGACTGGAATAACATTCAGAGATGGCTAGAGTACTGATCTGTATTGCTGGTGGAGGAAGTAAGCCTTTGACTGCTAATTGGGGCTGAATCACGAATTTCAACCACACACAGCCAAGACGATCGAAAGCAAAGAGGTGATGCTTATAGCCAGAGTACAATGATTCAAGACTTGCCTTGTAACGAGACTCAGTCCTTTGTCAACCACACTCGCCTACGCTAAAACCGAAATTTGAAACTCAGCGTTCTGCGACCGAATCTTCGATTGCAGCAGCATTTTCTGACTTTATCGCGTAACTTTCCAAGCTTATTTAAAACAAATTTCATTGCTATGTGCGCTCCTGCTTTCTGCATTGAAAGATTCAACGTGTTTTTCTAAAAGGAAGGTTGCCGTCTTTCCCAGACACCACTCCTTGTTCATCAGCAGGTCAGTTAACGTGCAATTTAAACCATAGAAGATTGAATTTATAGTCTTATAACGTGGTTGATTAGACGCAATTTCCCTTTCTCTCCTCCTTCACATGCTGACTTGCTGACATCACTTGCCATTTTCAAACCAACGCAAAAACAACCAAAAACAGCCATAATGAGCTTCCGAGATTTGGTAGACGGCGGTGCCGACTGCGGGCCAAGCAACTCGCTATCGCAGTTTGCAAAGAACTTTGATCAGGACCGCTCTCTTCAACGAGTAAGTACTCCACGACCTTGATGTTGCACCATAACACACAATGACATTAGAGTGATCATCGCAATATAACTGACACTATCTTATTAGGACTCCTTCCTTCCAGATGATCCACTAGCACATGCTGGTCCTAGTCAGGTATGCACAAGCTGCTCTACTCTGCTCAATAAACTGTTGAACCGGTGATTGCATTTCGTTTGGAGCTGACGCAATCGCATGACTTTTCATCGTAGCGGCCAGGAAGAGCTGGAGACTTTGACAACCAGGTATACTTATCACATTGGTTGATTGATTTGCTCCAACACTTGTGGTTCTTTTGTGCTGTGTGGTGACAAAAATGACGTCCTTTTCAACCAACATTCCTCTTTATCCATAGTTTGCTGAAGAGTTTTTTGCTCAACAACGTATGCAGAATGGTGGTGGAGCTGGGCCTGAGGCATTCCAATTTCATGATATGAGAGGAGAGCTCTCGAATCTGATACCTCGTGGCGGTCCTGAGGGTGAAGGTGTGTCTGCAATCGCGTATGGGTCTATGAAGGACCTTGACAATTGCATTTCAATCCTTGTCTCGCACATTGGATGTGTGAAACGTGTGCAAATGCACTATTTGGGTACACCTTCTCCCTTTTTTGCCTCCCACTCATTTATTCTCTTCTACAGAATGGGCAAATGACTTTGAAAAGTTCCAACATACTCAACCTCATCCCGCCGAATTCGATGCTGCATATCACGAGGCATTCCATGCTCCAGCTCCACAGGACTGGGCTCACGAATTCCATCAACATCAAATGCCCGGTCAAGCTCGCATCACAGAAATCGACTCTGAATTCGAACAGGCATTCGCCCAGCACTCACAGGCTCATCTAGAGGACGAATGGTCTAATCAATTCGCTGAAGCACAACGATCTCTGTCGGACAAGGGTAAAGGAAAAGCCCTCTCATCAGACGAACTCACTGCCATGTTTGAACAATATCAAGCTGGTGGCGATGGTGTAGAATCAGCAGACTTTTTTGAAAAGTTTAATGAAACATGGAAGAATATGAATCGAGATGGGGAGGAAGCTCCTGCATCTTGGGATGGTGAATATGACGACTTTTTAAAGGAAGTCAACAATCAGTCATCGTCCTTTGACCCAGATCCAGTAACAGCTCCACTAGCTCCATATACATTCGAAACCGAAAACCACTTCTTGGATCATCCAGATCCAATGAGCGAAGGAATCCGTCTAATGGAGAACGGTGGTAGTCTATCAGAAGCTGCACTAGCATTGGAAGCAGCTGTACAACGAGAACCCAATAACTCTGAAGCTTGGGCCAGACTAGGTATCGTACAGGCCGAAAACGAAAAAGAAGAACCAGCCATCGCTGCTTTGCAACGAGCAGTCCAAGAAGACCCCAATAATTTGAGCGCCTTGATGGGTCTCGCCGTATCATATACTAATGAAGCCCAAGATTTACAAGCTTATACTACGTTGGAACGATGGATTGCTTCGGCATACCCTGATATTGCTGCCAATGCACCACCACAAACCGCACCACCTGGCATGACTAGTGCACAGGACTTACATAAACGTGTCACTGCTCAGTTCTTGGAGGCTGCCAGACGTGGCCGCCCAGGATCGGGTGATTTGGACGCTGATGTCCAAGTAGGATTAGGTGTGCTGTTTTATAATTCAGGAGATTATGATAAGGCTGTTGATTGCTTCACTGCTGGATTGAGTGCTAGACCTAAAGATTACTTGCTCTGGAACCGTTTGGGTGCTACTTTGGCCAACTCTGGACGAAGTAAGTGGTTGTGATAACAGACCTTGAAATTGAACAAACCCCGGTCTCTTGATGCCATCACTTGTCAGGCGTCTAACAATATCTTCATTTCTTCTAACAGGCGAAGATGCCATTGAAGCATACTATAAAGCTCTGGAAATCAAACCATCATTTGTCCGTGGTCGTTACAACCTTGGTGTATCTTGCATCAACATTGGTGTATATCACGAAGCCGCTGAACACTTGTTGGGTGCTCTGTCTATGCATGTAGTAGGTTCAGGTCAAGGAACCAACGTTTCCAACAACTTGTGGGAAACACTACGACGCACATTCATACTTATGGAACGACGCGATTTGGCAGACAAGGTGAGAATCGCATACAGTGTTGATGTGATGAGCTGAGGTTGATGGAATGCTCATCGTGATCTCGTTTTACATAGGCAACTAACGCACAAGATATTGGCGTTTTCCGAGGTGAATTCGAGTTCTAGAGTTAGATCTTTGTATTGCGCACCACTCAAAAAATTAAACGTTGAGCCTCTTTTTTTTAAAATGTTGGTTACACGTTTGCTGAGCTTGACGATCTAAATCCAAAAAACCCACAAAATGTATTTCGTGAGAAGGAGGATACTGGTGATAGGGAGAACATATTTTCAGCAGCGGAGACACAGAACTAGTGCGCCGCCAAACTTGACACGATGGCAATCGCTGCAAACGCCATATCAAGTGCTTGAGCTGGATAAAACAAGCTCGAATGGTATCACCATCTTTTGGTTGCACTTGCGCTCACGTAGTTTTGACTAACTGATACATTTGCAAATAGCTGAAATCAAATCTCAGTACTATAAGGTACATGCCCTTGCACTCCGATCTTTGACAGTTCGTCAATACATCAACTTCATGAGGCAGTTTCGGAACAAGCTTGATGAAAGCCTCATATCGAGATCTTTATTCAAGAAATCATCATTGTCAACATGTTTCTTACAAGAATTCCTCCTTTCAGCTCTCCATGATCCACCACCCAGACAGAACACTAGCTGCATCACCAGAAGAACGTCTGAAATCAAACAGTACGCTAATCCCACAGAACCTACTATTTATTTAGCTTGTCATTAACGGCTTTTTCCTTACCTAGCTACATTCGCACTGATACAATCCGCCTACGAACTCCTCTCCACAAACCGACAAGCATACGACGATGGGCTGCTCGACCCACCAACATACTCGAACTACGCGGCTGGATCTGCGGCTGGATCGCCGGCTACTGCTGATGCGGACGATGTGTTTAAGGATAAGTATAGGGGGCATGCAGGGCCTGGGTTGGGTAAACATGTCATTCAAAAGGTGTATTAGCGGGGTTTTTGCGCAATGCTGATATGGTATTTTTGTATAGGTATTGATTTGCGGATGCTGATACCGTGGGCGATAGGTTTCAGTGGGCTGGTGGTGTCTGGGTTTGCCGGTGCTGCGTATCTGCTTTTCGTGAGGGAGCAGGAGGAGGTAAGGGAATTTTTTAGCTGTACTGTTGAATGATTGTCTTTGATTGTTAGACTCAAACAAATCTACTGCAAATGTTAGGAGGAGGCATGGAGGACCTGGCATGGAGAGAGGAAGAAGGAGGGGATTTCAAAGGCGTTGGGCTGGAGGACGTGAAAGTCTTGGGCCAAGTAAATAGTAGTGTGATGCAAGACGTGGGATCTCTTTTAAAATATTCGCTGATTCGCTTATAGTATGGCAACTCTGTACATTCTTTTTGCACACAAACAAGTCAGTTTAAATAAGGATCTTTTTACTAGAAATAGTTTTACACACAAGTCAAGTCTGGCAGAGTTATTTATATTATATATGAGTCAGGGATCTCTACTCCTTCTTTGGCTTCTTGTTATATGGGTCTTGTGATGGACCATACGCCAGCCATAGTTCCGCGATGGGGAGTGTGAGGAAGGGTGATGCTAGCGTAATGTCTAACGTTGTAGAAACAGGCCTTAGCTCTACAATGTCTAGCACAACAAAAAAAGCCATCAAGGAACTCACAATTAAACGCATCATTCTCTTGCATAAACGTCAGCGCCCCAGCAGCCTGTTTAGGTATCGACTTGGACTTTGCAGCGACTATGAAAGGAACAGCCAGCAGCCTCAGCACACCAACAGTATAACCTGCAACTGTGTGTCTCACAATCCACCGCCGATGCTCCCTATACTTTCTACTCACGGCCGTCTCATATGCGTGATATCCCGTATACAAGAACCAGATCGAGAGGACGTAACTAAACAGCGAGACGATCGGAACTCCCATCCGTGTTTTGCCAAACGCCATGCCCAGGAGCGGGAAGAGAGAGCCTGAGATGCCAAGTGACAGAGAGCATATGAGGAAGAGGTAGCCCATGAAGCGGTGTAGCTTTGGGAATTGTGTACGGAAGTTCTAGGAAGAAAGAGAGGAAGGGTTGAGCAAGTTGAATCATTCGAACAAAAGCAGCAATGGTGTTTTAGCGTCCATACAATACTGAATTGAAAGGGCGCAACAAGACTCCATATGACAGCTGGCATGATATGCATGTTCATAGACACGATAGGGTGTCTCCAGTAGTGTATGAATGGTGGATCGCCGTCTAATCAACAAACAATGGGCAGTCAGCTTCGTTCCCCAAACACTCTGCAAGGTTCACGACGTACTAGAGTGTCGAAATCCCATATCAAATCTCGTAGATTCTCGCATCTTTTGCACAAAGGCGGCCTTTTCATCAGGAGAGAGGCTGTACAGTTTCAATTGGTTGTATGCTGAGGTGATTAGCGTGACGCTCAACCACCCTTCCATAAATTTGGCCATTCCGTCAGCTATGTAGCCAATGGGGGATAGCTTTGATTCTACTGCCATGGTTGGTAGGTGATGTTGATTGTGAGCTGGACGTTGATGTTGATGTATCCAATTCGTGTTGCCGAGCGTCAAGAGAGAAGCTCCGAGTTCTCGGTGTCTCAGACTTTGGTTACCAGAATAATACTGATCCTGATTAGCCTTGTGCGAATAGAGTTGTGCTATACATAAGAACACGTAACAAAACGTTGGATCTCAATACCTCAAAGTAAGCTGATGCAGAACCCACAAACCACGCTTCAACCAGACAAAGGGAAACGTACCAGATGGATTCTATGCTAGAGAACCGTGGAATCCCGTCACTGTAGTTCGTTCAAGCGTGTAACTGCAAAACGTGGCAACTGGAAAAGTCACATCCGCAAAAGGTCGTATCGCATCGTGACAATAACAACAATCGGTTGAAAATGATCTAGCAGCTGTCAGACGTTTACGAACTCTGTTGACGCTTGAAAAATTGTGGAACGCGTCCACGATCTCGAAAAACGTAGTAAGGTAGCTCTTCCACGGAAGTTGATCAACGAAATAGACTACTCCACAGAGCTCGTTATTACAACCACTGCTGTGATCATCATGACGATAATATGATATTGCGTATTACAAAGACCAACTACTACGCGATACAGAAAGTTCCTGACCTATATCGTTGGTGACCTTGTCTGCCTTATCGCCACTGATCAGCAGGGGATACCTCAATGGACTGACTAGATGTTGTCGGAGCAATAACGCAGCCGTCGCAAGGGGCTCGATAGGTGCTCCCCCAAAGCTTCTCTCTGCGACGAGGTCATCGCTTCGGTTGATAGCCCCAACCACATCAAACAGCCACTCTCGCTGAGAGCTCCTCATTGACGAGATTGTTTGGAACTTTCCATGAAATATGCTATAGTAAGTTGGGCGAGAGCACGCAGATACAGCAGTTCAACAAAGAGGGTGAAAGTGAAGATTGAAACTTGGGAACTAGCATGCGGGGAGGAGCGGAGAGCAAGAGGATAGAGTACCAGCAGCACTACGTGATGAAGTATAGGAACCATGAGCTCCCAACCTACGAGTTCAGTGCGTGTCAGTGATTTTGGATGTGTTGCCGCTGATGCCAAATGTTGGACATTCATGAGACAATACCCATACAAGACAAGGACGGATCGGCTTTCTACATGTAGATCTAGCATACAGGGGTAGCGGGTCTTCTTGAAATCAATCTACTGGTGATGAAATCAGCATTTGATCAGTACAATCGTTTTTGACGGCAAAAAAACGATGCAAATCAAGGCGTACCTGATATGGCAGAACCAGCTCCATGATAGCGAGTATGGTTCATCCGGTCCCGAGACGTTGAATCTTGCTTTCTCCCACCTCCCTGTTGGATATGGCATTTTCTTGGAGTTTTTTGACGAAGAGTTGAGAGTTCAGTTCGTGGAGTAACTTGAATATTGACAAACTACAAACAAGCAAAACGGAGGGTACGTCGACTCATCGTTTCTATGTTGACATCATCTTCGCAAATTAGATTTCCAAACCCTCTCAATTCAAGCAGCTGCAGCAAGTGTCAAACTAACAGATCAGTAGAAATTATAGAGGCCGACTACAATATCTAGATCACATCGTGCCAGCATGCAATCAATACTGAAGAAGGCTCAAAAGAAGCCCTCGACTTTAAAATCCGAAGAACTTTTGTCTGGTGTCAAAAAGCTCTATGAAGAAGGTAAGCGTACGCTGTGATTTAGACCGCAAAACGTATTTTCGAGTTTTCGGCAAGCGATCCAGCTTCTCTTCAATACGATACAGCCCCTCCCACACTCTCTGCTCACAAACATCAACTTTTTTTTTCACAGCTGTTACAACTGATTCAACAACCACCACACCACTCCCTACTATTTACACAGAAGGATTCGGATCAGAGCAAATATGGGAGCAACTCCAGCTTCTAAATAAGCCCGTGTTGCAGCGTACAACCCCAGCTGTAGCAACAGCCAATAAAGTAAACGGTGCAAAGATCGCTCCAGTGCCCACAAACCCTGAAGAGTCTTCATCTTCGAATGGTGACGATGAGGACGATATGAGTGGCTCAGATGACTTTGCCGGACTCGAAGAACTGGAAGGGCTTGAAGAAGAGACTGGTGAAAATAGTGATGATGACGACGAGGATCAAGACGATTTCGAAGAAGATATGCCTTCAGAACAAGGCGACGAAGATAATCTGGACGAAGACGATGAAGATAATCTACCAAAGTCATCAATGAAGAAACGTAAATCACCTGTTGACGATGCCTTCTTTTCTCTGCAAGACATGGAGGATTTCGCTGAACGTGCTGAGGCACGGGATATGAAACGAGCTAGGACGGATAAAGTAGATGATGATGATGAGTTTGATTTGGGAGAAGGGTTTTTGGGTATGGATCCAGATCAGTTGCATGATAGTGATCAAGAAGATGATGACGATGATGAGGATTTGGAGCGTATGGATGCGGGTGATGATAATGCAAATGGTATGTGCAATTCGAAATCAAATTATTCCATTTTTTTGTCTTTTGCTGTTTGCTCTTCACAGTAACAATGTTCCTCGCGCAGATATCATGTATGAAGATTTCTTCGGACCACGAGAAACAGCGTCTCGTAAACCTCAAAAGGCATTTACAGACAAGATGTCTCGTAAACTGTCTAGAGAAAATCGAAACGAATATGAAAAGTTGAAGGAAGATACCAACATAGCGGAGGGTCTAGAAGATGAAGACGACGAAGACGAAGAAGAACCCACTATCAGTAGTAAGAAACCATCAAAAATCACCGACATCTTCAACTTGGACGACCCATCAACATCAGCCATGTCCAACTTTGAAAAAGATCAAGCCCGGTTATCGAAACAAATTGCAACATTGGAAGCTGAAGCTATGGCACCCAAGCATTGGGCGCTAACGGGTGAAATCTCTGCCAAACATAGACCCGTAGATTCGCTATTGCAAGAAGTATTAGATATAGAACCAGGCTCGAAACCTGTACCAATTCCAACCGAAGAAACGACTATCGCACTTGAGGATTTGATCAAACAACGTATCCGAGATTCCGCATTTGACGATGTGGAACGTAAAGCACCAGCAGTTGAAAAGACATATGATCCCAATAGACGATTCGAATTGAATGAAAGCAAGCCAAACAAGTCGTTGGCTGAAGAGTATGAATCAGAGTATCTGAAACAGACTATGGGAAATACGCCGACCGTTAAAGATGCAGCACTGAAAGCCAGCCATGATGAAATCAGCACCTTGTTTAAATCACTATGTAATGATCTGGATGTATTATCTAATTGGCACTTTGCTCCCAAACCTGCTCGTGACGAGCTAACGGTAATGCCTCTGCCCTCTGTGCCAGCTATATCGCTAGAAGAGGCCATACCAGCAGGTGTATCGGACGGTCAGTTGGCCGCACCAAAGGAAGTATATAGTGGTAAAACAACGAAAGGTGCTTCAGAAATGGAGGCATCAGACAAGAAACGGATCCGAACTACAAAACAAAGGCTCTTTAAACGTCGTAAAGTTGAAAAGGCGCAACGAGAACGGGATTTGGAAGCCCTTGCCAAGAAATCTATTGGTGGTCATGGAACTGGCAAGAAGTTGCAAAAGGCGGCTCTTGAACAACTCATGCATAAATCTAATGTCACTATTATTGGTGATAGTAAAGTGCTTAAAGGTGGTAAAGATATTAGAAACAAAGGGGCTGGGAAACGCAAGCTGGCGGATATCGTTGAACGTGGTGGTTCAGTCAAGTCCAAAAAGAATGATACGTCGGGTATGGATGGCAACATGCTACGACTGTAAAATGTAAAGTTTTGCTTTTAATATAATCAAATTCTTGCACTAATGACTACTACAATTTTGCTTCTTCGGCATACATTGCACATGCAGGGCATTGGTATCCGTGACTTGCGTGAGCACTGAATCCTGCTCCACTTGCTCCATCTGTTCCACTTCCACCGCCAGGGCTCTTCTCGCCCTCAGAATCTGATGCATCAGCTGTAGGCTCGTCGCGTACAAACATGTTAAACTTCTTTTCACGCCCAATTGAAGTATGAGAACCATGCCCGGGTATAACTTTAACGTCGTTGGGTAGCGCGTATAGCTTGGATTTAATTGATTCTTCGATTGTGTGGAAGTTTCCTCCAGGTAAGTCGGTTCGGCCAACGGAACCTCTGTAAAGCCAGTGTCAGTGTGTTGAAAGGTTGAGTTTTACAAATTTAAGACTCACGCAAAGAGAGTATCACCAGCACAAACAAGGTTTGCAGATGGGAAGTAGAACGAGCTTGATCCAGGAGTATGACCTGAGTAGTTTAATAACTTTAGCACTGTCTAAAGTACGATACACGTAGAAACCTAGGAGATGCTACACACCTGGAGTATGTATTATCTTCCCAACGACCTCACCATCCAACTCAATATCTTCACCCCCATCAAAGTAAACGTCAGCTTCACCAACTTCAGCTTCAGGGTTGAGTTTATATCCAAAACGTTCGACCTGTTTAGCCATATTCACAATCATGGCCTTGTCATTCTTGTGAATGAGCAGTTCAGCTTGAGTTGCCTTTCGCAGCACTCCAGAACCGAGAATATGGTCAAAATGGCCATGCGTGTGGTAGACCTTTTTTGAGACAAGTTCAGCTGTTTTAAGTTTGGGTCAGAGACATGGTTGCAAGGTTTGCTACCTTTTTGATTGTGAGCTTCAATTTCAAGGCAGCTTCCATTATGGGATCAATGTCTCCACCAGGATCAACACAGATAGCCTGCAGTTGAAAGTCGATGGAAGCTTTAGTTGACAATGATCGATCATGGAATATTGCGAGAGTTTCAAGCACGTACACTGCCAGAAGGGAAACCTATCACAGTGCAATTGGTTTGAAGTGGACCAATAATCACGACATCGTATTCTAAGGCCATTATTCAGGCAGCAGTGTGGTCTAGCAGATAATCAGCTTCAAATATCAAGCTCTGTTCTTATGGGTGAGTGTGTTTACTAGGAGCGACCGTTCGTTCTTTTTTATGTTTGGTTCTACCAGTGCTACAGAGAGAACACATCTAAACAGGCTCAACACAGCGAATTTGAACGAAAGAGAGGCCTCACCTGATTTTCTATAGTGTCCAGTAAGCGCATTCCACGAAATAGTTAGTGGACCTGCTATTGGCGTGTCTCTTGTCGCAAGAAGCTAGTGAGAGTAAGTGGTTTTCTTTTGAACCATTTCAGCGCTCAAAACATCCATCTAACGCTCAATGAGCAAGGATCCGAACACTAACTAGAGAATGGATGCACTATGGGCCATGCTCCGTGATACCGTTTCAAATGGAACGGCTGCTGGAACTGATCAGCCATTAGCTCCTGCTTTTACAGACAGTCAACGTAGCATCCGTCTGGCTCACGGAATCGGCATGTACTTGATATTTTTATTGATATTTCCAAGCGCTGCATTCTATGCTCGGTGCGTTTTACTCAGGACAGCCTGACAACACATTCGCTGACAAAGCGCTGGCATGTGCTAACCACCATCCACACAAACCAGGTTCTTTAAGGGCGCCCGAGGCTGGATTGCTCTTCATGCAGCCATACAAACCGCTGGCTCCTTTGGAGTACTTGCATTCTTCATCTTAATCATAAACACTGTGGATCCAAACAACATTTCCCATCCACATGGGATTATCGGAATCATTCTAGTTATTATGGTCATGATTCAACCGCTCGCTGGTCTGCTCAACTATTTGGGTATGGTCTCGTTGAAGATGGACAGACATCGAGCATGGGTGAAAAAGGGACATATCACACTTGGGTGGGTGGCAATACGAGATGTGCGCTTCAAATCGGATGTATGATCTAAATAACATCACGAAATTTAGGTTCTCAATATTGACATTGGCCATAGTCCAAGTCGGGCTCGGTATCAACAACTTCCATAAGCTACCAGCTGGCTTATCAACCGCAAAAGGCATGCCTTGGTGGATTGTCTTCTTTTGCGTCTCGGTCTTTTGGATTGGTGCATTTCTAGGAACTGAACTATTTATGTCCGTAAAACTGAAAAACATGTATCCAGAGATGGTCGTGTTGAAAAAGGGAGATTACGATGTGGACTCTACCTCCAGTAAAAGCGGCAACGGAAACGGAAGCAGTACTAGAGGGAGCGTGATACCTGGAATCAATTTACGGAATATTCGGCCCATCACGCCGAAAGAGAGAAGGCCGTCTACGGATCGTGAGACTTCGATATCCGGATTGGATCGGTTATTGGATATTCAGAAGGATGTCAAGGCTGCTAGATCGGCATCTGGTAATTATATTAGTTTTTCGTGGGCTGATGTGGATATGCTAGTCTCCCAAGGGTACGTCTTTTTTTGTTCTCAAAATAGTTCCAAACACCATCTTGGTGCCACAGGTGTCCGGTTCGAACTAGTTCTTACCTACTATTCCATTGCAGATCTGTTTTGGTAACCATTGATAGAAAATGGTGAGACAATCTCAAGTCAGAATTATGTCAATTTGCCCTCAAGTGGTAGAATCCCCAGATAACTAACTGTGACCTTTTCCCTCCAGGGTGTATGACGTGACGCAGTTCGCTCGATGGCATCCAGGAGGCGCCATAGTATTAGGCAGTGCGGCAGGGACAGATATAACATTGGACGTTTTCCCACCACCAGTTCCACCAAAACGTGATTCTTCCAGAGCTCAACCTCGTCGATTCCCACAAGGTCCTGCTGCATCAGTAGAAGAAGCCCTTTTACGAACCGCGCGGGCAGCTGGGTCGCTCATGTCTACCGATAAAGCAGCTCTAGAACGTGAACGACGTTACCACCTGCATTCTGTAACCGCTGTACGTAAACTAGCCAGTCATCTAGTAGGTGAAATCAGCACGCCTCGGGACGAGTATGCTTCATTAGAGTACCGAAGATATCTAATCACTTCAAACACACAATTGACATCATTGTCGAATGCTACCAATGCCGTACATCGACTGAGATTAGCAGTGTTACATCCACCATCTTACAGGTCCAATGTATTCTATCCACCGATTCTGCCTGGCCAATGTGTAGAAGTGCAAATCATACCGTCTGCATGGAATCCTAAACCGGTATCACGATTCTATACACCTATAGAAGGAGATATGGAGTGCTTTGAAATTATAGTACAGGTTGAAGCTCGAGGACAAGTGAGTGGACGATTAGCTGGGGGAGGAATTACGCTTGTGAAAGTCCGTGGGCCGTTCGGTGACGGTCTAACTATAAAACGACCCTTATCGAACGCGCCACAATCTGTCGCTTCCGGATACGAGAGCACCATGACGCCAGACTCGACTACCGGATGGCCGAGACGAGTCATGTTTATAGCTGCTGGCAGTGGCGTTACTCCATTTTTGCAAATGGTCAATAATGCATTACTGCCTACTCTCGTCCCTGTAAACGTCGAAGCAGATTATAATCCGAATACGACGACGCACTTGACGCTTGCTGAAGGTGATCGAGTCGCGATTACTCATCATACATATAACGGATTTGCTGAAGGTTTCCATCTCAAGAATGGAAGAAGTGGTATAATTCCTCTTATATTGACTACTCCGCCAGTTGGTCGTAATGTTGAATTCATCTTGATTCATTGTATTGGAGTTTTGGGTGATGCCATTGGAAACGATATCTTGGAAGGAGCTGAGGTGAGTGCTCACTAAAAAAACTGGAGCTGAATCTTCATTGGAATCCAATATTGTTCGTTTGTTTCTTTTTACAAGATTCTCACCCTTTTCCTCATACTAGTTGGCACATCCCAAATCGATATCCACTCATTATGTAATTTCAAAGGCAGGCAGATCAGTCAAAGACGAGGTCTCATTTGCCAAAATCCACAAAGGACCATTGAGCCATGCCATGCTCTTCTCACTCCTATCCAATACGCGATGGAGGCGCGATGCTCTAGCAGGAGAACAAATTGCCGTCGTATGTGGCCCAGGACGATTCGTTGATGACGCTGCAGGATGGTTGAGAGACATTGGTGGTGGTGCTGTTCTTGAAATGGGTGAACAAATCACAAAGAACTTTGGATCTGATTGGGATAACTGGGTTGAACGACGACAATTGCCGAATGGGACCTCTACAAATCCTACAAGTCCTAGCAATCAGTAAGCGAGGCAGTCATGGTTGAAAAGGCTTGGCGTTTTCATCGGTTTCTGACTTTTTTTTCCGTCTCAATTCTAGGATTGCACCAATGTCTGTAAGCTCTAATGGAGCAAACTCGAGTGGCAGTAGTCATACAGACGGCGTTACGATGGTCATTAATACGCTCCAAAATCAGCAACAGGGATCTAATAACCAGCAACAGGGATACAGTAACCAGCAACAGGGATACAATAACCAGCAACCCGCATACAATAATCTGCCAGGCGGGTACAACAATAACAACAACCAGCAACCCGCATACAATAACCAACAATCAGGATACAACAACCAACAACAACCCGTATACAATAATCAACAACCCGTATACAATAATATCATCACAACGCCCATCTCTCGAGACCTCTCTGTAAACACTACATCGTCCAATGGTATAGATATGCGATCTGCTGTCGGAAGACGCACCGCTCCAGGATATGACATTGATGGTGCATCGTCAGTTGGCCCAACAGCTGTATCATTAGCTCCACGACCACTGCCTATCATACCGGGACCACTTGTAAACAATCCAGAACCTTTACCAATGCCATCACAATCCGAAGATCAGCAGGTGGATAACGATGACAATTTAACAGTAGTAGATGATTATGACGATATGGCACCATCTAGATCAGCTTCTTTACGTCACCGTCCACCATCACCTGACGGGTCGATAAAATCGGATATAACAGCTTCGACAGTGGATGCACACTCATCTATATCATATCAAACACCTCAGATCTGGCCGCCAATGCCACCACCAATGACTTACTTACCTGTACCGTCGTCGTCAGCATCGGGCCAAGACACCGGTAGTAGTGTAATTATTCCAAGAGCTGTGCGAACGGCACTTGATGATAAACGTGCTAGTACCGCAGCATCAGTAGCTTCATCATCATTTGGTAGTGCCGAACGTTTGTTCAGCTCTGGAATGCTGTCTGAAGCTGGGTACTTGAAGTTGAAGGAGATTGAACTGGAAGCTCAAAAGGAAAAGAGGAGGTTGACGCTGCAACATCAGCGTCTTGTTGGTAGTAGTAGCACAGCTGGGTCTGTTGCTGGAAATAATTTTGGGAGTGTAGCAGCTAGCTCTACGTTGGGAAACAGTACACCTCGTCCGGATTCGAGAGCAACGGACGCATCAATGACATTGTGATTTTATGTTCAGAAAAGAGTACAAAAGTAGGATGTAAGGAAGGATTGAGAGTGGGAGAGTGGGAGGGTATCTTAAACTATATATTTGCCAAAAATTTCAAACCTTTCTATCTATTCAAAACAATTATTTACAATAATGGAGTGGGTTTCAAGGCCGCAGATTGCGATTGCACGCGTTAGAAGCCTTGATCTCCGAAGCAAACATGTCCTATATGTTGAAAGACACGTAACGAAACTATCACAGCCATTGCGTTGAAGTTGTTGCAAAATTCATCCATTTTAAAGACACGTAGAATCAAGCACTTTGTCCATTAGAAGCTAGAATATGACCAAGGCTCTTCGATATACAGGTAGTCTACTCAAATCCCAGCCATGTCTACTCTGCAGCACGAGAAAATCAATGAGCTTACACGCTGGAATTGAAACTTCCAAACTGCCACTTGCTTCTTCAACACCCTCAATATCATATAACGAGAGAAAAGATAAATTGTTACTGCTACGGACGGCACTGTCAGACCATTTTACCAGCAGCGATTTGACTACATCATCGCCGAAAACATCAACATCAAAAAATCCAAACATCAGTATGATTCATCACAAGC